GAAAGGTTTAATAAAAAAGTTTTCTTAAGTATATTACTGTATTAAGGAATGAAAAAACTTTAAAAAAAATTTGTAATAGATATATAATAGTTGAACCAATTGGAATTTTTTAATTTTTTCTTATTTCAGTATTTTTCTCGCATTTGAAAAAAAATAGACTTAACCCTCTAGGTACGGGTGGGAATTAAGCGTCCCATAGGTTTAAAAATATTTTTTAACAATAATGTAAATATTAGTAGTTTTTATGGTAAAATCATTACATATTTTAAATTGATGATATTTCATATTCTTGCATAGAGACTTTTGTTTGGTTTTATTTTAAATAGGGGCTTCTGATTTGAAATTATGGGTCGTGTACGTCCCACCAGGACTCAGAAGTCCGGAAAAGCAAATGTTGCAAGGTAAATGAAATTCTTTATTTTATTGTTTTTATTCATACCACCTGAAACCAGAATAATTTTAAAGGAAAAATGCATTTTTGTTTGTACAATTTTTTTATTCCACTGAAAAGCCTAGTCATGAAAAGCTATCCAACAAGTCCAATTCATTTTTAATATTTTACTTGAAAATAATTTAGTTAGAAATAATTTTATTCAGTTTAACTAACTATAAAGTGCGCATATATTTATTGTTCGGTAGTGTACAACTAAGAAGAAAAAACTTATTTTCATCTGTAAAAGTAAGTAATCTTTTTTATTATTAAACTAATTAACCCTTGTGTGCCTGAGCTAGGTTCCTCGGACCCAAACAATTTGCTTTTCATCTACTTCTATTTAAGAAATTTTTTTTCCAAAATCGTTATCACATTGTATAAGCTGATGCTATAACGTACATTTACAAAAAGAAACAGAATTTTTTTATGTAAAACTCTTTCTAATACATTGTATTATAGTTCTTATGTACTTAGTTGCCTAAGCTGGGTCCCTAGAACCGTGACAACTTTTTTCATGTACTTGAACATATTCGCTTGAAGATCGTTACTCGAAGGTTTTTGGAGTCGCTCATTACGAATCCGGTGTACGTTTTTCAAAATTCAAAATTACAATTCTGATGTTACTTTTTCAAAATTCAAAATGGCGGAACCAATATGGTAAATATATTTTTTTAAATTTGACGGTTTTGATTGAAACTCTTTATTCATGGGTTTTCAAGGTCGCTGACTACAAATCTGATATTCGGATTTTGAAAAATGGATTTTAAATTCGCAATCAGTGTCCCCGAAAACCCCCAAGTAACGATTTTCAAGCAAATATGTTTAATTTTTAAAAACGTCTTCTGCCATATTGGCTCCGCCATTTTGAATTTTGCAAATCTGACGTTGGATTTCTAGCAGCAACCCAAAAAACCTAAGAATACCTAATAATACTTAAATTAAATTAATTACTTTTTTTGTACTGTACCCTCAAATTAGCCCTTATTTGATTAAACAAATTACTATTTTTTTATAACTTTCAACGTCATATTACATAACATAAGGCTGTTTAAAATATCACTAAATATAAAAACACATTAAATAATGTTAATTAAAGATGATAAAATTGATCAAAACAGATTAATTAATGTATTTAAAACATATACATGCCAATTAACAAAAACAAAAGAATAAAGTCTTACTATTGTGAAAATAAAACATTCATTTCATTTATTTTTGTCTATTTATTTCCCTCATTGAAATCCATCTAAATAGCATAAGCTACACTTTTAAAAAAGTTTTTTATTAATAAAAATTGTTCAAAATATTAAATCAAAAAATACATACAAAAAATCCAAAATTTTTTTATTATTACGTTAAAACAAAGTAATGTTTTGCAGCGTGAATCGAAGAAAAAGGAAGTATCATATTTTCTTAATTATTTTTTATGCCGACTCCCACATATAATACATTTTACTTATTTCCACCCAAAGATAAGGGCAATAGAAAACTTAACGCGCGTTTTAGAACGCTATATTTTCGTACTTGGGTTAATAACAACAATCTGTCCCCATTTACCTAAAAAATTCGAAAACTTAGAGTAAATGGGGACAGCTTGTTATTATTAACTTAATTGCCAAAAATCAAAAATTAAAGTGAATTTCTGTTATGGGAAAGCTTGTTATTATTAACTTAATTGGTTCAACTATTATAAATGTAATACAAATTTTTTTAAAGTTTTTTCATCTCTTAATAAAGTAATATACTTAAGGAAACTTTTTTCTTAAACCTTTCTTAGAAACTATGCTGTCCCCGATTACCCCAAATTTTATGAAATTTTCTAAATTTTAGGGTAAATGAGGACAGTCAGTTTCATGCGTTTAAAGCTGATCTAAATTTTTTTCTGCTGCATAAAATTAATCCTAGAAATGTAAATAAAAACAAAGGTTTAAAAAGAATGGAAAAATCATTCTTTTTCTTTTTTAAACCTATTTGAATAACTACACTTTCTGCGGAATATCTGCAGAAAGTTTTAATTGGGTATACAAATAACACAGCCCACAAAAAAAAGTGTTGGGGTTTGGGGATCAGAGTACTCTACTCTAAGTATTTTGGGGCGTTGAACACGAATTTGAAGTCCATTTTGTTCCTGGAGGTCTGGATTTCTTCCTAACCTCAAAAAACATGTGAAATTTTTGGTGGTATAATTTTTTTTTAAATTATTGGATTTATATGAAACTTTGTGTCTAGGGATTTTAAGGTCGCTAATTGCAAATCTGAAGTCAGATTTTAAAATTTTAAAATGTCGGACGAATTTTTAAAAATTTATTAAATTCGCTTAAAACTTATTACTCGGGGGTTTTTGATCTCGCTGATTACGAATCTGAAGTTAGATTTTTAAAAATCAAAAAGGTGGATCCAATATGGCTGTCAAATTTTCAAAAATTCATTAAATTCAATTGAAACTTGTTACACGATAGATTTCGGGGTCGCTAAGTACGAATCTGAAGTCAGATTTTCAAAATTCAAAATGGCCGATCCAATATGTCGGTTAAATATTTTATTAATTATTGGTTTTTTAAGAAATTTTCTTAAAGATTGATATATTTTCTTAAAACTTTTTTTGCTTGTGGCTTTATACTTTATATTAGTCAAGTCACTAACTAAATTAAAGCTGTGATCATTGTATAACGATGCCTTTGGGCCCACTTTCACACCTTTAGCCGCCGATCCCTATCTCGTAATTTTTTCTTATATGTCTGCCATAGAGGCATCAAAGTCGTAATGCAGGAAGTTAGCCGGAAGGCGGACAATCTCCGTTGCCCACCCTCACCACGTGGAGGTGCCCTGGACGCAGACACAAATAGGAAGTTATTTCACTACTATGGACTAATGGTCTATTCGTAGTAGGTAGTTCTTCTTAAATAGCACGTCGCAGATAATATACTTACCTCTAAGTAACTTTCATGAAAATATACCAATCTCTAAGAAAATGTTTTTAAAGAATCACAAATTTTCCAAATTTTTAACCTCGAAAACCTCCGTGTAACAAGTTTCAATCGAATTCAGTGAATTTTAAAAAAATTTCCGCCATATTGGAGCTACCATTTTGAATTTTGAAAATCTGACATCAAATTCGTAATCAGCGAGCTCAAAAACTCCCGAGTGATAAGTTTCAAGCGAATTCAATAAATTATTAAAATTTTTTGTCCGCCATTTAAAATTTTAAAAATCTGACTTCAGATTCGCAATCAGCAACCTCAAAAACTCCTAGACAACAAGTTTCATATAAATCCAACAATTTAAAAAAAAATTATATCATTAAAAACACAAGCCTGCAAAAAAACAAAAATTTCCATTGTCAGAGATAGGGAAGTCATTTCCCGTAGTTTTTGGTGCGCTGATTCTGAATCTGACAACGAAAATCTCATATCACGTCAGGATTTTGAGAAAAGTGGGGGTGAAAGTCCCAAAAATTACGTTTTTGGCAGTTTTTGAAAATTCCTACCGGGTAAATCCAACGTGCTAGGGACTTGTCATAGGAGTCAAATTAAAGCTTAAACCCTGTGCTTTACGACGAAATAGCGATATTGACAACAAGAAGAAAAATTAGCTGTCAAAAAAGTGTTTTTAAGTTATCAAGCATAAAAATTGACTCACACTGTCCGTAAATACAACTATTTTAAAAACTTACTTGGATTTGCTTGGAATTTGTCACTTGGGGGTATTCGGGGTAGCGGATTACTAATAGGATGTCAGATTTTCAAAATTCAAAATGGCTGATCTAATATGTCGGATTGAATCGATTTTTTAAAAAGTCGTCCGCCATATTGAATTTTGGAAATCTGACATCATATCCGCAATCCGCAACCCCGAAAACCCCCGAGTGACAAATATCTAGCGAATCAAAGTATTTTTTATAATAGTTGTATTTACGAACAGTTGTTATTCCATTTTTATACTTGACAACTTAAAAAAAAACATTTTCGACAGCTAATTTATTTTGTTTTTGTCAATATCGCTATTTCGTCGTCAAGTAGAGGGTTCAAGCTTTTTTTGACTCCTATGACAAGTCCCTAGCACGTTGGATTTACGCGGTAGAAATTTTCAAAAACTGCCAAAAAAGTAATTTTTGGGACTTTCACCCCCACGTTTTTCAAAATCCTGACGTGATGTGAGATTTTCGTTGCCAGATTCAGAATGAGCTCACCAAAAACTACGGGAAATGACTTCTCGATCTGGGACAATGAAGTTTTTTGTTTTTTTGCAGGCTTGTGAAATTAGACACGTTTTTTGAAGTTAGAAAGAAATCCAGACTCCCAGGAACAAAATGGACATTAAATTTGTGTTGAGCAGCCCAAAATACATAGGAGTAGAGTACTCTGACCCCAACCCCAACACTTCTTTTTACGGGGCTGTGTAACATATTAGCATCAGATAGATGTTTTTATTTAATTATTATTTTTAATTGCAAATCTTATTGTATGATTTAAACTACATGTAAGACAAAAACGAATCAATCAATTATTTAACTTAGTTCATTTCTTATTTAGGCTTCAGGAATTGGATTATTTGGTAGTATGGAGTACTGGCTATTTCGAAGCTCCAGTTTAGATGAATCTTTAAAGATCATAAATGATACTAATTTTAGTGTAACTTCGGATTTTACGATTGCTGTTTGGAAAAATGGTGGTTTTAACTTATATGATATTTACAATCATTGCCATTATCGTGGTGGACTATTAAATGTTACTTTTGCTGGAACTTGGAGTAAAACTACCAAAATAAACTTTATACTGCCAAAGAATAAATTAGAAAGAAGATGGAATTTTCATAAAATGACTCTAAAATCAAGTGGATACGTAGGTTTAAGTATACAAGCATGAAAACTTGTTTCGGTCTTTTTTTGTAAAACAATGATTTTTTGCCAAAAAAGACCAAAAATGACCATGTCCCCCTAGCAATCATAGCTTTTATCAAAGAGAACTGAAATTTAGTACACTCCTGAATTTTTACGTGAAAATCATATGAAAAAAGAGCAAACACTATAGAAGGTCGGAGGAGTTTCAGCTCTAGGAACCATTTTAAATGTTTTATACAATTTAATGACTATAAACTGCCAAATTGACAGTATAAACCTCGAATTCATAATTATCGAGAAAAAAATATATCCTCAAAAGCTGCCCATACCTCTAACAGTATTTGCTCTATTTTTGTTGTAATTTCCACGTCAAAATATAATGTGTACTTTATGCTCTATTTCCAACAAACTTAAGGGATTAAAACACTATAGAACATCAAAAAGAGGCCTAATTTTAATAATTGTTTACAAGGAAAGTTTAAAAGTAATGAAAAATATGTTAAAAAACCTTTCGGATTTTAAAAGGTAGGCTATTTTTTTAAAAAATGATAGATTTACTTCAAACTTAGTACCTAGGAGTTTTTTGGGTAGCTGGTTACGAATCTGAAGTTAGATTTTTCAAACTGGCGGATCCAAAATGTCGGTCGAAAATTTTAAAAATTGGTTCTACTCAACTTAAGTAAGGTATTCACGTCTTTTTATGGTAGCGCACTCTTTTGTCCCCAAAGGATCTGTGTAATAGATTTCGTTTCAAATTGGTCCCTCCATGCACAATATCCCTTTTCAGGATTCAACAGTATTCGGCTATCATATTTACATCCCATCTTCTTTGATAACAACGCTTAAATTCTTTAAGATCTTGATGGAATCGTTCTTCTTGCTCTTTATTGTAATCTCCTAAATTTTCAGAAAAGTGATTCCGATGCGAGTCTAAGTAATGCAACTTCATGCTCATTAAGCATCCTAACTTACCAAAGTTTTTAATCATATTACTAATTAATAATAGTATGAATTTATCACTCGGTGGTTTTTTTATATAGTATGAAGATATCGATCACTCCGAGTCAGGTAATAAAAGAAAACACAATTAATGAACATAAAAAATCAAAAGTGGGTGTTACCGCAACACATAGAAACTTACTAAAACATGACTTTGACTGGGACAATTTTAATATTCTTGACAATGAATCAAATGAAAATAAACGTCTTATTTCAGAAATGATTCACATTAATCTACAAAAAAGTGCAATCAATAAAAAAAATGACACTCAGAATCTTAGTAATTGTTGCACTCATTTCCTTAACGATAGAAAATATTCACAATACTCATCCTTGTTTGATTATACTGTTACTTAGTCTTTCTCTATTTATATTAATTGATTTGAGGTTAACGACCTCAGAATTACATGTTATTGATTGTATTTATTGAATGTTCGATCAGTGTCAAATTATACGTCGTGCCGACAGGAATTTTAAAATTTAACAATTTTAAAAGTTTCCTTATAATTATGTTAATTTTTTTTATTTAATTTTCAATGGTAAAGGTTTTTTTTATAATTTTTTATTGTTCTTAATAATCTTCTACAATAATTGTGAAAAAATATTTATTTTTAATTTTTTTTGTAATAAAAAATTTTTAGTTTTCTGAAGAGGACGGCTGAGCAGTTGAAAACGTTAAAAATTGTGTTTTCTTTTATTACCTGACTCGGAGTGATTGATATCTTCATACTATATACATATTACTAACTGTTTGACCCCAATTTTCACTCTTGTGATTACTCAGAATATTTTCGACTACTGATTTGAAACTAAGCCGTGCGGCTTTCTCCTTTCTACTCATCTTGGTGATAAATTGCTCATCTTTTAACAATTTACGAGTATGTGGTCTACCGAAAACCCCTTTTTTGAGTTTCGCATCAGAGATTTCTGGAAACTTTTGTTCCAGGTATTTGAAAAAGTTTCCTTTTTTATCTAAGGCTTTGATAAGTTGGCTACTCCAAGTTTCATGTGTAAGGGTGAAATTAGTACCTTTAAAGGTTCAATTAGGGGTTTTCTATTATATTTTTTGAACCTGGTTCAAAAGAATTCCTTTTTGGCCATTGTTTTTTAATGTAGTGATTTGCTCGATCTCTACTTTTTCACAAACACAGGAAACATGGTGTTTTTGTAAAACCTGATTGTTGTCCAAGTAGTATGCTTGAAATCTCCACAAATTTGCCAGTTATGTTCTCGGTATCTAATTTTATCCAGAACTAGTTTTAATTTCTAATGAGATTGCTAAGTTCTTCTTGGTTAAACGTTTGTGGAGTCTTTTTCTCCTGTTCACCGTACGGAAGGTAATAATCGTCCTCATCATCTGTTCTCATGTCGTTATTTATAAAATCTAGAACATCTTCAATTCAACTGTCAATTTGCAAGGTTTTGAGAAAGGAAGGTGGATTGCATGAAATTTCTGGTTTTTTTACAGTTGGGACGTTGGCATACAATATGTTCTTTTTATTTTTGTTATTATATCCTTGTACATTGATGTTGAAAAAATAACAACCTTTTTCATTTAATGGTTTTTTCCACAAAGTTGGCTTTATAAACTTTAGATTATCCTCTTTAGTATGATTCCAACGAGTTAACATTGTGTAACAGGAGCTGCAAATTTTGTGTGGAACCCAATTTTTATCCTGATTGTCTATCTCAAGAGGAAAACAATCTTTGTAGATCTATTTGATATTTTCATTAATTGATTTACGATTTTTGGGGACATCGAATTGTCCACATATGTAACAAAATGCATCTGCATTGCTGTCGCCTAAGTGTTCCGACGTTGTTACTGCAAAATTAACTTTTGAAGCCTTTAGAGTTTTATTATTGTATTGATTTTGAGAAGCTATGATTTATGTAAAATCCTGCACGTTAGAGATCCTGGCCCGATCGCAGGTAAGTCCGCCGTCCTAGGAGTGATAACCCTCATACCTCCTCTTTCGTGGCAGTTGTCATCGCCTACTACATTTATCGAAGCAGCAGGATTAGTATTCTGACTGTAGATTCGTAATCAGTGTCCTAAAAACCCCTAGATACCTAGTTTAAAGTAAATCCATCAGTTTTTCAAAATTCATCCGCCATATTTGAGCCGCCATTTTGAATTTTGAAAATCTAACTTCAGATTCATAACTAGCGACCCAAAAAACCCCTAGATACTAAGTTTGAACTAAATCCATCAATTTAAAAAAATAGCCTACCTCTGAAAATCCGAAATGTTTTTTAAGGTTAGAAAAAAATCCTGACGTGATGGAGCAAAACGGACTTCGGATTCGTGTTCAGCGCATCAAAATACATAGGGAATGACTAGTCTAGGTTACGAGTTTCTTTTACACACAAATATTTTAGTTATAAAAATTTGTTCTTTTTATGGGAGAGAATCTTGAAGCAACCAGTCTTGGAAACTAAGGGAAGTCCACATTCCACTGCAACAAGGAATGTCCAAGGTTGCTACCGAGTTTTACAAGAGGTAATAAAAGGATTTAGTAAATTATTAAATGACTTACCTTTTTAAGTAAGTAAAAATATGAAGAAAAGGACCACTACTGTGTCTTTATAAATGAGCAGGAGAACGGCTGGTACCAGATGTCGCTTATGAGTATTCAGGAAGGTTGACGGGCCTAGGTGGTCCCCACAGGTCCGGAGTTCAATGCATCGTGATGAAAACCCAAACAATAAGATTTCCTTTGTAAACAAAGAGAAGATATTTTCCAAATATTATGGCAGGATACTAGTGGTATGCTTAGAAGACTCCTCCTCAATGTAGAGACTTTTAAATAATTGACTTGAAATTCTTCTAAGTCGAACTTGAGTATGAAATCGAGCAGAGTATCAATGCTTGTACTAGATTTCTTATGTGACGAAGACGTGCTCATAGCAAAATATGAACTGAACTCCCCAGGCAAATGTCGACCTTTTTAGACAAGATTTTCCAAAGAGAGCGCACGAATTTTCAGATGCGGGTTGAATTTTCCACCCTCTTTAATTAATTAGAAACCAACTATATGTTATGGATTAGGGTGACTCCCCTTTACATTCCATAGGTTTGTTCCAGTAGAACAGGATATTTAAATAATCTTACAAATTTTATATTATCTGAATTCGAAGAGAAACCGATTTTAATATAAGTGGGATTATACAATTTGATTATAGAAAATTAAAGAGGGTAGGCTTTACGGGTTTATTTCCCACTTCCTAAACACTTCTAGGGCTACTCAAAGGGTATTAAACATTTAAGAGAAACTCTACGTGATTATGACTGATTTTCCGATTCATTAAATAATATTGTAATACTTTGTCAGTCAGACTACTATCCCGACTATAGTATTGATTTTATACAGAAAAATTAAACCAGTAAGGGCCTTTGTTACAAAAATACAGCTGCAATATTTAACAACGTTACGGTGATGTGACATTAGGTAGACTTTAAAGAGAAAAAATACTATATAAATTTTAGTTTTTTCGAAATATCAGATTTACAGATACGTAATAGAAACCCTTTATGAGGAGAATCACTTCGCGACCAGAAAGGTTTTTACTATAATTTTTATTCTAGAACAAAAAATAATTTATTTTCTCTTTTTACATCTCAAAACCTAAAGAAAGACGCAGGGGATTTTTTTAAATCGACTTTTGCAAAAATGATGAACATTTTATGGAAAAACAGAGTTTGTTCCTAAAAAAAATAGGTACTAAATTGTTTATAACTTTAAAAATATGCAAAATAAAAAAATTCTTACGTCTTTCTCTAGATACTGTTATTAAGAAGCTACAGTTACACTTTTAATTAAATCGGTTGAGATTTGTGAATGTTATGTTTCCGATGTCCCACCTGACCCAAGCCTGTATGGTAAGCTTACTGAAAGATTGCAGTGTAAGATTACTACAAGATTGCACAATAAGATTATGGCAAGATTACTCAGTAAGCTTGTACGGTAAGCTTGTATCAAGGTTGGTGCTAGGTTGCCAAATAACCTTATTTGGAACCTAAAATTTTTTTTTAATGTTTCGTCTACTTAATACTATTTTATTTTATAAATTTGATTATATAAACATGACGAAACATTTAAAAAAATTAAGTTTAAAGGAAGGTTATTTGGCAACCTCACACCAACCTTGCTACAAGCTTACCATTCAACCTTACTGCGCAATCTTGCAATAATCTTATTGTGAAATCTAGTAGTAACCTTACAATGTAATCTTTCGGTAGGATTACTGAAGCTGACCATACAAGCTTGGGTCAGATGGGACATTTAAAGCTTGCAGTAAATTTTACATGCAAGGTTGGTAATATTGCGCGGCAAGCTTGCCGCAAGGTTGCTGCAAGTTTACGTGCTATCTCGGTATCATCCCTGCAAATTTTAGACAAAAATCTTTTTTCATTTTAGAAAATGGCGCTAATGTATACAAAAATGTGTTACATGGGGAAAGGGGGTTCAAATTTCCAAAAAAAGCGTTACGTAATTTAAGTATGGTCCCATACTATGTCACGTGGGACTCTGTGGGCAAAAAAAACCATTTTCATTTTAAAATCGTTATTTTAGATTGCTTTATGTCTGCAAAGTAATGTTCTGAAACATTTGTAATGTTTGAGTTATTTTAAAGCCGGGAAGACCGGTCGCCGGATGGAACCAAGTTTGAAAAAACGTTTGTGAAAGAGAAAGATGGCGTGAAGCGCCATCTACAATACTTAAATCATTACATAATTTGAGGGGCTGATAGTAAAAATGGTTTAAAATAACATTGGGAGCAAAAGTGGGATAAGTGACTTGGGAGCAAAAACGGGTTAAAATGATTCGTGTAATTTATTGATAAATTCATTATATTATCGATTAAAAAATATTAATTATAATAAAATATGCATTTTTTCCTATTGTTAATATTTTTTAATCGATAATATAATGAATTTATCAATAAATTACACGAATCATTTTAACCCGTTTTTGCTCCCAAGTCACTTATCCCACTTTTGCTCCCAATGTTATTTTAAACCATTTTTACTATCAGCCCCTCATTTATTTGAAGGACCATGTCTTTTGAAGCCAGAGAGGATAAGGGTAAATTCAATTAAACATATTAGATCTATTTAATACATATATTAAAGAAAAAGAAAAAAAATGTTACAAGAAATCAAGTAATTTTAATAATTCGCGGAGAACACGTTACATGGCTCACATGAGATCGTCGCCGACAGATTTCGAGAAAAGAAAGAGAACGCTGACATGTAAATAAAAAATAATAATGTAAATTATAAATTAAACAATAAATAAACGATATTTTTTATATTCGCCAAAGCTAACAATTAGTCGCGCTTCTCCACGAAGACCCTAGGTGCGTTGAGCATCAAGTATCTAGAATTACACAAAGGAAATGGTGGATATTATTTCGTACTCTGGTCTATCTCCAGAGATACGCTCTGGAAGCTCCACAAAAACAAAAAATGGGGGACTCTCGAAATTTAGGTATGGCGACTAGCTCTAGGGTTCCCGGACTAGATCCTAAAGTAAGGTTACCGTGTCGTGCACAACCGGTGTTTGATTGGGAAAGTGCCAGGCAGTCCTCGAGGCACTCCTGCCATACCTGGAATTACGGGTCGGAAGGTCATTTTAGAAGACGAACGTCATCACCAGGAAGTACCCTAAGAGATGACTCGATCTCCTATTCTCTTCTTTGAATGAAAGAGACGTACCTCTATTCTTGTAATGAAGGGGTGAAAACAGAAAACCAAATTGCACGGGAGGAAAGCTTCGTCATTGGACACAGAAGCACCCATAGTTCAGGCGAATAGTCTCCTTATCTTCTCAAAATAGAGAGAGAAGCACCTCTACTCTAAAGTGAGAATACCCGGCATCGTTTTTGGTTTATAGCGGGTAGAAGGTTTGTTCACACACTCACACACACACAGAGAAGCACCTTTAGTGTGCGATTCCAAACCTTACTTCCAGAGGTAGTAACAGACTCACCTCTATACTAACGCTGGAAGTACGAGAGGGAATATTTCTCCATGTCGGCATTAATTGTCATAATCGTTCACATATACAGAGAAGCTCCTCTATGCCAACGCTGGACGTGCGAGCGAGAAGAAATGAGTCCGCATTGCCCCTTGCGTAGTCACGCTCGTGTGAGTGAGAGTCAATGGCGGAAGCACCCACACATCGACGCTCTCCTCGAGCTGTGACTAGGCGAGTTGGCCCGAAAAGCACCTCGAAGCCAGGCAAAAAGCGAACAGCCAAAAATCGCCAGTGTTCTGTGGGTATCTACTCTACACGACTTTCGGTGAGAGGTAGTACGAGAGAGGGGAGAGCGGCGCGAAATAAGCGGCGTAACAATCATTTCTCTCTGGCTCGCTCTTCCGATGCATTGCTACTCGAATCATAGAATCATTATGAACGATTCATATAACGTATCGTTACAGATTTTAAGAACATGTATGTTCAAATAATGTTCTAGACCATTTTTGGCAGACATGAAACATTTTAAAAACGTCTTAAGAACGTTTTTGGACCAAACATGGTTTTTTGATCACTGGGGAGGTTTCCACATACACTTAATTCTGATTTTTCCGTAAAGTTAATAGTCAATGTCTTTAATTATAATTATATTAATGAACAAAACCTCTAAAAACTTATCAAATTCTCAAAAATCGAAGTAAAAAGATTAGGAAGAAACATAAAAAAAGGAAATTTTTTTTAAATACGTAAATAAAAACTTTAAAATCCTTTTAAGGAAGAATAGTTATTAACCCTCGGAGCACACACCTCTTTTTTCGAACAAGTAGCACAGTCTGGGTCGCTGTGACCCTGTTTACTTTACAAAACTCCCCCATTTTTGAACTATTGGACTGATCAACACAAAAAAAAATATTTTTTTATTCATTGAACCTTGTAAAATAAGAATATGCAGTTTAGAAATATTATTAAATTATTTGCATATTGAAAAAAAATTCGTGAAGTTAACTAATTAAAAAGAAAAAATTGAATTTAAAAAAAAAATGTAACTTTTGTAATTTTTAATATTTTAAGCTAAAAATTGTGATTTATATTCTCGAAGTGTGTTAGAATAAGGGAAAAAATACCACCTTATTTTATTTTTTAAAAAAGGTATTTATTTTGTAGTTTAACGAAGGTAACTTTTAAGACGATAAAAATGTGATTTTCGACACAACTTTTTAAAACTATATTTTTTTAATAACATATTTACTAGTATTTTATTATTTTCTTTGGATTATCATGTTACTTATTATTCCTTATTAGTTAGTTACCACTATATGGCCTTAGGTTCGTGTTGTATTGCCGACTTTTCAAATTACCCTTCATTGAAATTAATGACAGGGTCTGTGTGACCCAGTATGTGCTCCGAGGGTTAAGATAAGCTTTAAAATCTCAATAATAAAATTTTATTTTTTAAATTTTGTTAAAAATCTTTTTTAAATGAATTTTTGTAAGTTAAAAATCACATATAAGGCATTTTACGTGTAATGTAATGTAATGAAAACTCTGTATATTTTTGAAGGTAAACTACAGACCAAAGGGAATGACAGTCAGTGATTACTTACAAGATTATGAAACGAATACTTTAGACAGCATGGCTAAATTTAGTTATGCTATATGGCTACATGTATCTGAACTTTTTAATTTTACGTGAGTATGATTTGTAAATTGTATTTTATTTTTTATAACACTACAATTTTTTTGAAGTTTTCGTGATATGTATTTGAAAGCTCATATTTTCCTGAACAATTTGCAAGTTAGAACTTTTAAAATATTTATTTTTGTATAAGATATCCTTGTTTGAAGTTTGCGTTTGAAAAAATTGATTGGTTTCGTTAAAACTTGTCTCTCAGGGATTTCTAGAGTTAGTAACACAGGTGTACAAGGTTTTTAGGGTTTCGTGGCCAAGGGCTGAAAGCCTTATAGTTTTGGTTCGGCAACCGTTACCATAGAAACCGTTACTATGGTAGTAAACGTCAACTCCACAGGTCCCAAAACCTTCACCGTTTCGCTTTGGCGCTACAAACCGGAAGTCAATATTAACGTTTATATATGGAAAACTCCAATGACGTTAAGTAATTTATTTCTTGGAAGAGAACTTATTTATAGAAATTAATTTAAGAATAAATTTATAGTAAAAAAACCCATAACATGGGAGCGAAATTAATTTACAAATAATGCATTTATAAATTATTTATTATATATAAATAACTTTTGGTCTAAATTTAAAAAGCCACGAAACCTTAAACGTAGGCCCTTTGCGTCTGCTTCTTTTGCTAATTTTTTTTAGATATCACAGTGGTTTCCAATGTATTTTTGTGTGCTGATCACGATCAGGTTTTTGGGGTATTTACCCCCACTTTTTCAATATCTTGACGTGATACACAATTTTGGAACCCGTGATAGTGTTCAGCACACAAAAATACATTGTAAACCACTGTGATATCTAAATAAAAAACCTTGTACACCTGTGTTACTGACCCTGGAAATCCCCGAGAGACAATAAATATATTTTATTATGTTCGGATTCGTGTTCAGCGTCAGAAAAACCTTAAAAATCACCAAATACGATCTCAGAAATAAAAAGAACATCAAATTCTGTTGCACAGTGAAATGTTTTAACACCCCTGCCGAAGCTTGCAAGAGAAGAGAGTGGAGTACAGACACTCTATTGCTCTTATTTTAGAACTTTCTAGACACTGGTCAAAATAACTGTATTCTAACAACTCTTAGGTTAAATAAGGACCCACTCTCAATCCAGGGTTTTTGTGAATGGAGAGTAGTCTACTCGAAATTTTTCCAAGCTTTTTAAATCATCTTCCCGACACATGGGCCCTGACAGACTCTTTGTTTTTAAACGTTAATTAAATATTATTGTATTGCATCTATAGCGACTTGGGCTTCTAGGTAGCTTAATAAAATTTGATTAGCTAGATAAAAAAATTAAGCAAAAATGAATAGTAATAAATTTTTCAATTTTTTTAAAAATATTTCTTCTAATCGACACGTAGATCTGGCTGGATTCCTATATATTTTGTATGAAATTATATGAGATATGATACATTTTGATCATTTTAAATCGCGTTAATTACTCTTTTTAGTAATATTATCTATTTAGAATGTATTTATATACATATATATGACGTTTCACGTCAACCGGTCCAGAGCTCTGTCCAAGAATCTACTAAACGAAAATTGACTTATTATAGCTCAAAAAAATGTCAGCTCATACTGTTTCAAATAAAAAATGGCGAATTCAAAATGTCGTCCTTACTGGACGATCCAATATGGTCGACATATTTAAAAAAAAATTCAATGGATTCGCTTAAAACTTGTTACTTGGGGGTTTTTGGGGTCGTTGATTACACTGTGCGACAGCCGAAAAACACTTTTTGTCGAACCTACTAGAGGTTGTAGGTAACAAAAAACTAAGAAGAATGGTAAATTAAAAATTTCACTAACACCCCCAAAATTTAGATTTTACAGACAAAAAACCGTTTTCACGTATATTTATGACTAAAACCCTTGTAACTTTTTTATTTTTGCACCAATTTATATTTTTTTTTCATTTTAAAGCAGAAAAGCAGGGCTTTTTAACCCACATAAAGTTTTTTTGTTAAAAATAATATTTACAAGAGAAAACTTCCAAGAAAGTTTAGAAATTGGCAGTTTTTCCTCAATTTTTAAAACTTTAACTGATGTTTACGGCATTAATTATGTTTTAAACATTTTTTTCTTCATGTAATATTCAAGCGTACTAAATTGTGCGTCGAACGAGCCCTATTTGAATAGTTTTCTTTGAAAATTGACTGATTTATTACAGTTTTTCTATTTCAAAGATCAGTAGCAAATTTAAGTATTTGTCAGTTTTCTTTAATTTTTTATTCTTAATTGTTTTATGTAAAGTGCTTCTGAAGTTTTGACCAATTTTTTTATCTTGGTCTTTTTAAGAATAAGTTTTTCTGTAAATATTAATTTTATTTTCCATATAAGAAAAAAGTAGCTAGCCTCAAAAATGAAATTGCAACATCTATAAAAATTCATTTTTTGAACTTCCATTTGGACTTCTTTCCCGTAAACCTTGGGCAAGTAAGTGATGATAAAAATAAACAAGATGGGGGTCCCTTTTTATAAAAGAAGTTTATGTTCATTTCATGAACATTTTGCTTCCTCATTGCGCAAAGCAAAAGATTTGCTTCCTCTTGGAGGAAGCAATAAATTAATAATTTATATACATATTATTTTTAAAATATGATAAATGATTTCAAAAAATATATCTTTTCTTTTTTTTTTATTAAAATCGATTTTTTGAAAAAAAGTAAAAAAAAATTTTTTTTAGGGGGTACTTTCTAAAATTGTTGTGTTCATTTTGAGATATTAATGTGACAAATGTACATACCGAATTTTAGCCAAATCCGTTAAAACGTATTAAAGTTATCGTGTTCACAAGAAAATGGATCCACACACACACACATACATACACACATACATACATCCGGACAATTGATCAGGGACTTATATATGACATTTATAAATAGAAAAAAATTTTTTTGGTGCATTTCTAATAATTTTATAATTTGAAGGACTACATAGCTTCCTCCAGAGGAAGCAAAAGGCTGAATAAAGACTCTGATTTCAAAATAATTTAAATTTTCGGATATTTATTTAATTTAGTAATTAATATTAAGAATTTAAGTTGAATTTTAGTTAGCACTAAAAATATTCTTGACAAGAAGTATATTTGAAAGATATGTTGCAATTTCATTTTTAAGACTAGCTACGTTTTTATTATATGGAAAATAAAATTAATATTTACAGAAAAACTTATTCTTAAAAAGACCAAGATAAAAAAATTGGTCAAAACTTCAGAAGCACTTTACATAAAACAATTAAGAATAAAAAATTAAAGAAAACTGACAAATACTTAAATTTGCTACTGATCTTTGAAATAGAAAAACTGTAATAAATCAGTCAATTTTCAAAGAAAACTATTCAAATAGGGCTCGTTCGACGCACAATTTAGTACGCTTGAATATTACATGAAGAAAAAAATGTTTAAAACATAATTAATGCCGTAAACATCAGTTAAAGTTTTAAAAATTGAGGAAAAACTGCCAATTTCTAAACTTTCTTGGAAGTTTTCTCTTGTAAATATTATTTTTAACAAAAAAACTTTATGTGGGTTAAAAAGCCCTGCTTTTCTGCTTTAAAATGAAAAAAAAATATAAATTGGTGCAAAAATAAAAAAGTTACAAGGGTTTTAGTCATAAATATACGTGAAAACGGTTTTTTGTCTGTAAAATCTAAATTTTGGGGGTGTTAGTGAAATTTTTAATATACCATTCTTCTTAGTTTTTTGTCACCTACAACCTCTAGTAGGTTCGACAAAAAGTGTTTTTCGGCTGTCGCACAGTGTAATCAACGACCCCAAAAACCCCCAAGTAACAAGTTTTAAGCGAATCCATTGAATTTTTTTTTAAATATGTCGGCCATATTGGATCTGCCATTTTGAATTTTTAAAATCTGACTTGAGATCCATTTTAATAGCAATGATTTTTTCAAGATAATTAGTACATTTCTTTGCTCAGTCAGTAAAAAAATTTGAAAAAGTTGTCACAGTAAGGACTCCATTTTGAATTTTTGAATTCGCCACTTTTTATTTGAAAGAGTAAAAGATTCAAATGTAAATAAAATTACATCATTTTTCATATCACAAATTCAAAGTATTGTAATCACAAACTGCGCGTAATAATTTTCTCGAATACTCGAATTTTAGTAAAACCTGGGAAGGTATAAACTTCTAAAAAGTCATCCGGAGTATTCGAAAAAATTATTACGCGCAGTTTGTGATTACAATAGTTTGAATTTGTGATATAAATAATGATATAATTTTGTTTACATTTGTATCTTTTACGTTGCGTTACATTATATTTTGTTGTAAAAAACTTTAATAAAAAATAATAAATATTCAGAGATTTAGTTCAGAATACAGATAGTTTATATATTTTTTAGAAAAAATTTAATTTTGGTGTTAATAATTCATTTTCTTGACTAAAATGGTCATGAAAGTTGAAAAATGATAAAACTTTTGCAAATTTCAAGATTTAAATTCAAAATTTCCAGAAAAATGAAATTTTAGTACCCCAAACAAACTTTTTTTGAAAGCTAACATTTACTCCTTGCAAAATATACTGGAAACTTTAATTGTAAAATGCATTACTAGGGTGATAATATTATTTTTCAAAAGAAGCTATAGATCAAAGTTTGAAAATGAAACAAAAAAACTTATTTTTGCTGCCAAAATAAAGCGCCAAGTGGATTTTTTTGTAATTTGAATTACCCCTGGCGGATTGGGTAAACGGAATTGGGTTACGATTCGGTTACGTTTCGGTTCCTTGTAAAATATTGTCGTTAATCGACGAAATATGTTGTAAATAACTATTAGGAATGGTTAATAGACATTTAGAGTGCTTATTTATGCAATAATAAGAATAAATTAAGATATAATTACTTCATAATAAGTGTTTTAAGTGTACAGTGCATATAGTTGTTGAGTTACCATATATGTATATTACCACCAGCGGCAGCTGTGATATTAAGAAATTTTTTTTTTATATTTGTAGAAATGAAAAAAGTTGTTTTAATTAATC